ACGCCCGCCCGCCCACAAATGGACGACCGTACCTGATGCTCGTATTGCTTCATTCGCTAAGTAAAATATGAAGCGAAGGCATTGGTATGAAGCGGCTGCGGTGCTGCATGGATATATGAGTACATACATGCAGCCGTACCTACCGTAGCGGTTATTGGCAGGGGAAACTCGTCCGAAATTGCTTTTCAAGAACGAAGGCTTTTCTTCGCAGTTTTCGACCGTTTCACTTCGTTTTTTCGCCATTTTCCCCACTATATAGCGCCCTGCTAGCAGTTTAGGCCGAGTACCATATTATCGTGCCAACTCCCTCTAAGTCACATGCCACGACCTGAACTCGTTGGTAGCGAGATCTAAGCATGTTTTTGTTGGTAACTGACCTAACAGTGAAGAAAAGAGCAGAAGAAACCGTTGCTAACGGCTGAAGTGTAGCCCGGTGGACTTCCAGCCCTGGACATTTATGCAGTGGAAAGAGACGCAAAAACGACCAGATGAGCACGGGCGACAGCTACAGTCCTCATCATTGCGGACTGTCGGAGGGCGGCCGTGCAACGCGGTCCAAATAGGCCTTCGTACTCGCTGCTCTACCAATGGCGATCGGGTGAAGATCAATTCAGGGAGGGAGCAATCAATAATGGAAACGCCGCAGGTGCAAGCCTCTGATTGCGACCCGAACAATTGGCGGTGATGTAAAAGTGATAACACCACCGCATACCAGCGAGGAAAAATCAGTCCTGCTGACGGAAATTGCTCGTCTTAAGCTTCTACGTGCTTCGAATTCATCAATGGTGTTGTTGTCCTTGATCGCTGCGCGATGCAGGGAAAGCATCGCGCATTGATCGTCAAATCGTGCGCACGAGCGCTGGCCTCGTGCGAGCTGGAGCGCTGCCCCGTCGCGAGTCTGAACGCTGCCTAACAAATGGCTTTCCTGTACCCCAGTGTCCGGATTATTAAAGATATAGATTCGAAGCAACGTCTGCTCTTTACCGTCTGCCCGCCGTCATCAGAGTCTACCAGCGACTATGGAGATAGGAAAGGAGGTGGCAGAGTGCTAGAAGAGAGTATGGGGCGATAGGGAGGAGGTAGTAGACTGCTGTAGAGAGTATGGGGAGATAGGAGAGTAACAGACTGCTGTGAGAGAGTATGGGGCGATGAGAGGTACCGGTGTCTGCTACTCCCCACTCCTGGACGCTGCTGGTCGCTAGTGGACGCTGGCAGACACTAGATCTATACCTATACTTCCCTAGCCCTCGAGACGCTGGTGGACGCTGGCAGACGCTAGATCGATATCTATACTTTCCTAGTCGCTGACGCTGCCGGACGCTCGGAACGCTGGTGGACGCTATTGGTCGCTGGTGGACGCTGCCGCAAAGTATGAGCCTAAGGGTGTGCCATTCTTAGCATACTTTTCAAGTGCCGCAGTGTACACACTTTGCATCTCCGATGTTGCGCTCCTTTTACAGGATTCCATCTCGAGTAATTGTGGTCCAGAACAGTAGCTAAACGTTTTTTGATTCTCTGCTCATTGCAATTAGTCAATCACCGGTTTATCAGCGTAGTTATAGATGACACTATCCCAATAAATATGTAACGATCACATAATCAGTAAATCATAATTTAACGATTCGAAAGTCAACATTCTACACCATGTTGGTGGTTGTTTCGCTAGTGAACTATAAAATACCTATGAGCTTCTCACACCCAGACATCAGAAGAAGAGTCTGCCTTATTGCAAAGCGAGATCGTCGAAGGTACAGATTCGAATCATCTTCAATGATGTGCTGCTGCCTTTCGTCGGCGAAGAACTCTCTCGTAAGCTTCCTCATCTTTTTGTACAGCACTGATCACAAGTTCGTTTCTGACCACAACTTCGTCTCTCTTTGGGCAGGGGCAGTAGAGTGCATCTGATCCGACGGCTCCCACATTACCAGGTTGTCCAGGGATGCCGTCCACGCCCGGCATACCTGGCGTGCCTGCGCGACCAGGCAAACCGGGAGCACCAGGCATACCCATCGCTCCTGAAAGAAAAACATTAATGGAAGTTGAAATGAATTAGAGGAGTTTTATTAAGCTTTCTTTACCATTTATTCCGTGGAGTCCCTGCGAGCCGAAGTCTCCTCGAACGCCGGGTAAACCAGGTGGGCCGGGCCTGCCGCGTCCACGATAGGCGGTGTCTCCATGTCTGCCGGGAACACCGGGCACTCCTGGATTGCCTGGTATTCCTGCATCTCCACGAGGACCTTGCGGTCCTGGCGCACCACTTCTTCCTGAATTCGGTGTGTACGCTCACATCATAAACAGAAGAGCAGAAGGATAGAGCAGTTGAGTAATTGGGAGCGAGAAAAAAGATGATGGAGAGAAAGCTACTAGGAATACGGTAAAATCAAATAGCAGGAAACTCGTGTGAAAGAAATGAGCCGTCCTCTCTGGATTTTTTCAGCTGCTAAATTGCAAACATAAATTACCTTTCATGCCTCTGTAGCCGAAGACTCCAGGAACACCTGGCATTCCTTCAGGTCCATCGGGCCCAGGTGGGCCTCTAGGTCCCTGTGGGCATGGGAAGCATCTGTCTCGATTATCAAGCATTATACTAACTCGATTTCCATTGGCACCTCTCATGCCAGGATCCCCATGTGGTCCGTGATCTGAAAATAAAGTTCCGTTCACTCCGAAAGGTCTGCTATGGGGATTGGAGGCACAAGGCGCGGCAATTCGGTGCTCTGCCCAAAATGCTCATAGGGGAACTACATAGTGGGGAAAATGGCGAAAGTGAAAAGGTCAGAAACCTGTGAAAAAACCTTTACTTTTACGCAACTCAGAAATCAATTTTGGGCGAGTTTCCCGCTGGCATCCTGCCAGTGACCTATACGGTAGTTACAGCGCTGCATGTATGTACTCATACAGGGGGGGGGCAAAAAAAGTCATTTTGCCTCCATGACTTTCAAGGCGCTATAAGTTACACTTTATTAAATTTTTATCGGACATTTTTACTACCATATTAAAGAGCACATTACTATAATAATGATCCGCCACAGCCTTCTGGAGGAGCGCCATCGAGAGATTCGGCCGCGCGAAAGTGAGTGGGTACCGGAGTTGAGCGAGATCGTTGATTTCTCCGCCACTGTAGACCACCCTGTTGAGCTCCGCCCGAACCGAGTAATTGAGGGGATTTAGTTCAGGACCCCGCTTGAATACCCCATCTTTTCCAGGTACTCAACGTTGCTTCCGTTCCAAAGTAGGCCTAAAGTTTTTTATCCGAAGCCCTTCGATTCACACGTGGTGTCAACCCAATTCTGTAGCGTACAAAGTTTAAGCAAGGTACGGACGAGCGACATGAAGACGGGATAATTTTCTCTTGAGTTGCTCGCTGTACGCCCACCATGCAACCGCTCAGTCTGGGCCCAACAAAGCAAAGTAATCGGTTCATCCATTCCAGGTACGGCCGGTCCACACCATCAACCCCGCCTTGGTGAATGGGGTGAAGATGATGTCCTGGACCGTAGCGACGTTGCCGGAGCTGCTCGATGTTTGGAGGTCTTGCAGATCAAGAGTACTGGTCTCCAGGTAGCTATCTGTGGATGACTTCATTCAAGAAGTCTTCGCAGCTGTTTGGAGGCGACGTGAATTCCAAAGGTGTTCTCCAGTCAGGCCGCGACTGGAGATGACTTCATATTTTGGTGTACATGAAGGTGAATGGCGGCAGCCGGCTCCTGCTTATAGAGGAAGATCTTGGGTATCTTCCGCCCTGGTACTCATATCCACTTCCTCTGTCTGGGCTGCGAAAACTTCGCTCATATGTGACTCGGCCGGAATGACTTTTTTTGGCCCCCCCCTGTATCACTCACATCCATGCAGCACCGCAGCCACTTCATATCAATCCCTTTACTTCATATTGTCCTCCACAGATGAAGCGATACGAGAACCGACATCCGTCGAACTTTTGTGGGAGGCGCGGTGGCCATCCGGGTCGATACGTTGCAGCTTGATAGGGCGCTATAGGGGTACCTTCCTCGGAAGAAGCGCTACGCAGCACATGTTCAAGGGCGGCTGAAGCTCGTTCTCCCTTCAGGCAAACCCTCAACGGCGTGCAATACTTTTTCGCACTTTTCTGCTTTTGACAAAAAAAACAACGTCATGGCGTGGAGTGGAACTCCCATAGAATTACTATATAATTCAAAAGATTAGAAACCTTCATAAAGTGACTAAAGACGTCCAGAGGGTAATAAAATAGGCGCTGCTTGGTTTGAGGGGGAGCGCTTCGCTAGTTTCCCCACTTTGTTTTGTTAGCTCCTGTTCACTAACAAGTACCCTGTTCTGATGAGACCTGTAAAATCTTTAGAGTTACGAAATGATACAAGTATCAAAGGTTTCCATAAGGCTGCCTGTACATGCGCCACAAGGCTGTGTTCATACTTTGCGGCAGCGTCCACCAGCGCTCCGGTAGCATGAGCGATTAGGAAAGTAAAGGTATCGATCTAGCGTCCGCCAGCGTCTGTCAGCGTCCACCAGCGTCTCCCAGCGTCTGGGAGTGAAAAGTATGGCGCGATAGGAGGATAGCAGACAGCTGCTAGAGTATGGGGATATAAGAGGGTAGCAAACTCCTGGATTAGGCGTCGTATGGTAGCGTCGTGAAATTGCGGTGCAAGCGCTTAATCCAGCTGTTTGCTACCCTCTTACTTCCCATCATCCCCACTCCCGGTCGCTGGTGAACGCTGGTGGACGCTGGCAGACGCTAGATCGATATCTATACTTCCCTAGTCGCTGACGCTGCCGGACCCTGGGAACGCTAGTGGACGCTGGTAGACACTGGTGGACACTGCAGCAAAGTATGAAGCGATCGCAGCAAAGCGCGATGGAAGGGTAGCAGACAGCTGGTACCCTCCTATCGCAGCATACTCTCTATACACTCCTAATCGCTGACGCTGCTGGACGCTCGGAACGGGACGCTATTGGTCGCTGGTGGACGCTGATGTTGCCGCAGCCCAAGAGTGTGTTCAGACCTTGCGTCAG